CTAACTGAAAAATAGTTTCAAGTTTTCTTAAAAACATAAAAACCAAGTTCACTTCTTTTAACCAAAGTTTTAAGAAAATGTGATGAACTAGACATAATTGCTTAAGTTCACTACGGCTACGGTGCGGTCACCACCACCTCTTTAGTTCTCACCACCTCCATTTATACCATTTCCATTGGGTCCATCACTGTTTCCAGCTCCACTGCTTCCACCATTCATGACGCTTCCGCCTTGGTTGCCATTTTCGTGACCACCAATCATGATGTATAACTGATCTCTTTCTATCTGGAATTGTTCTGACAGTTCCATGTAAGGGTCAACCTCCTCTCGTATGGAGCCATCGTCATTGACTTGGTTTGAACCAGATAAATTTGACAACGAATCCGGGATTCGTCTAGGAAAATAAAGCAAAATGAGGTGTGAGAAGAGATAGAAGAGAATAAGAAATAGGAAAAAGGAATAAAAAAATAGTTGATGTGCTCAAAATATAGTTGGAGTGAATTATGAAAATTCTCATCTTATGTCACTTCAAAATATATATAAATGTAACAAAAAAATGTCATTTGTATAGATTATGAGAGAAAAAAAAACATATAACCAGATATTTTGATTAAAAATAGTGGAAGGCAGCAAAAACATTACCCATGATCCAAATATGGATGGGCTATGTAATGTCTCCCTGTCATCACCCCTGGCTCTGAAACACTCCAAAAAATCTTTCGGTTAGGATTAGGGACTTGCTCTACGCCGGTTGTCAATTGGCTACTGAAACTGAAATTCTGAGCGACCACAGCAGCAGAAGATTGAGGAATGGTGAAAGAATATTCTATGTAAAGACATGCTTGACTTTGCTCCACCGGTTCATTGGAAGAAATAGCCTCATCCACTAAATTTGTGTTGCTACAATATTTAGAAAGAGATGATGTTAAAGTTTTGATTTCGCCAAGTTTATAAAACATTTGAATATTAATTAATGTGAATCTTACCCGGAAGAATTATGCTGATCTAAGGCTTTATGTGGACACAACTCGATTCCCATAGTCTACAAGATTCACATGATTTTTGAGCAACAAATATTATATGTTATGTATTTATTTTAGATGACATCAATTGCAAGACAAGCATAGTTCTTTTAAAACCCTTATTGAATAACTACCGAAACAAATATTACCATTTCAATGGAGTAGTCTTGAATAGTTTCATCTTCTTCAGCAATCAAATCTAGGTTTTGAAGGCTCGTTGCATATCGCCATTGACCTGGTTCTATATGCATACATTTTGGGCATTGCATCAAGCTGGTTGCATTAAAAGTTGTACCAAGACAATCTGTATACAAAGGAAACATGACAACACAAGATTGTTAATTAGCGCATAAAAGAACAAAAAACTACTTAATCTCATGACACTAACTCACATACAATTAACTTTGGATGCAAGCTATTTCACACTGATGCGCTAAATAATCTCATATCTGTTAAGACAACTTTGGTTTGACTAAAACACGAATATATTTGCATGAACATCTAATATTGTAATGCAGAGAAAAAAAATGTTTCAGTTAATGAATGCATCAAACGGAAATAAATAAAAAATTTCTATGTGCTTGTGAATGAATATGTATGGCCCAGAACACCACATCATATATAGATCACAATCTCAGACAAATAATTCTACGTGTTTTTTCACAACAAAAGTCTAAAAAATGATATACAAGACTAGCGAATTCAGGATAAACAAATCAGCAAACATTTTGAAAAGGGAGGTAATTATATTACTCAAATGAACTTGAGCAAATAAATCCAAGGGATTGTTATTTGGGGGATTTTGAAAAGTACCCTAAATTTTATATGAAAATTTGAAAAGTACACTTAATCTTGTAAAGTTAGAAAAATATGCATTTTTATTACGTAAAAGTACGTTAATACCCTTATACATATTTAACATGCTAA